AAAAAAAAAAAAAAAGAGAAGAAAAAGGAAGAAAGAGAGAGAAAAAGAAAAGGGAAGAAAAAAAGAGAAAGAAAAAAAAAAAATCGGAAGAAGAAAAAAAAAGGAAGAAAAATAAAAATAATAATTTATATTTTTATTTTTATGTGCTCAATTCTCGATTCCATTACAGTTCACCGGAGCTCATAAATCTGGTGTGCTACAGATTTAGAGACGTTTCTCGTTGTATCGTTGGGGAAGTTACGCCTGAAACGATAGCTGCCACACGGGGCGTATTCTTCTTACGGAAAGAGTTTTACTCGCCTCGACATTTATTCTTTCCGTTATAATTTTTTTTATTCAGTTGAAATTTATTTTTTCAGTTCGGTTGTAATTTTCTATTTTTTAGATTATTTGTAAGAACTGAAAAATTCTTATCAGTTCGTAGGATTCTCGTGTAATTTTGATACTAAATATCCAACAATCGCAAGAAGAATATCAGTCAACCTACTGAACTGATCATGGCATCCACCGGAGCAGGTTCCAACTCTTAGCAGCCAATCAACACAACTGTTCATCATCCCGTACCTGCTGTCAATGTCCCAACAGCTGAAAAGCGCGAAAAATTCAACGGGCTTGACTTTAAGAGGTAGCAACAAAGATGCATTTTTACCAAACCACTTTGGGTTTGGTGAAATACCTGAAGGAAGACCCCTCGGTCATTGCTGAAAATGAAACCAACGCTGAACTACGCGCTGCGTACGAAGCTTGGGGGCAAGGTGACTACCTTTGTCGGAACTATGTCCTGAATGGACTTAGTAACGAGTTGTACAATGTGTACAGCTCTGTTGGTTCTGCCAAGGAGTTTTGGGTTGCCTTGGAGAAAAAGTACAAGACTGAAGATGTTGGGGCAAAAAAATTCATCGTCGGCAAATTTCTTGATTTCAAGATGGTTGACACGAAGACTGTCGTGTCACAAGTGCAAGAGTTCCAGCTAATCTTGCACGATATCTATGCTGAAGGGATGACTTTGAGCGAGTCATTCCAAGTAGCGGCTGTAATCGAGAAGCTGCCGCCAGGCTGGAAGGACTTCAAGAATTATCTCAAACATAAAAGAAAGGAGATGAGTCTTGAAGACTTGGTGGTTCGTCTCGAAGAGGACAACCATAAGTCATCAGGGAAAGTCCCGATGATGGAAGCTCGTGTCAACTTGCTGGAGCAAGGCAACTCGAGCAAGAGGAAGACCCAAAACAAGTGAAAACAGTCTGCCGAGGTTTGGAAGTTTACTGGAACCTGTTACAATTGTGAAAAACCAAACCATATGGCAAAAGACTGCAAGAGGCCAAACAAGGTTGGGCCAAAGAAAGGGCAATCGAGTGCCCTTTTGACTGAACAGGGCCCTGTGACGGGTGAACTGACCGACTTTGATATGTCGGCTTTGGTGTTTGAAGCCAATTTGGTGGATAACCCGAGGGAGTGGTACATCGATACTGGTGTCATTCGACATGTGTGTTCCGACAAGGAGGTGTTCTTTGAATACACTCCTGCAACAGGTCGGAAACTTCACATTGGAAACTCCTCCACGTCTGATGTGGCTGGAGTGGGCACAGTGGTGCTGAAGCTCACTTCTGGAAGGGAGTTAAAGCTGAAGGATGTTCTGCATGTCCCAGATATCCGCAAGAATTTGGTCTCCGGATCACTTCTTGTTGAGCATGAATTTAGGCTAGTGTTTGAAGCTAAGAAGTTTATTTTTATCAAATATGGAAAATCCTTGGTCGTGGTTATCTCGACAAGGGATTGTACAAAATAAATGTAATGGCCGTGAGCAGAGTAACCGTTGATAATAAAAAGCCTATTTCTGTTTATACTGTTGAGTTCTCTGATTTATGACATATTAGATTGGGACACGTAAATCTAAATGGACTAAACGGTTGATGAAATTAGATTTAATTCCTAATTCTAAAGTTGAGACAAATACAAAAGGTGAAATTTGTATTGAAGCAAAAATGGCTAAGTTGTCTTTTCACTCGGTGGAAAGAAGTACTGAACCATTAGGCTTAATCCATACTGATGTATGTGATATGAAAAGTGTGCAAACAAGAACCGGTAAAAAGTATTTTGTAACTCTTATCGATGATTGCACATGGTTTTGCTACTTATATTTGTTAAGAAGCAAAGATGAGACGGTGGAAGCGTTTAAGATATATAAGACTGAAGTTGAAAATCAACTCGGCAAAAGGATTAAAATAATCCAAAGTAATAGGGGTGGGGAGTATGTAGCTCCTTTTGAACAAATATGTTTTGAATATGGCATAATTCATCAAACGACAGCCCCTTATTCTCCACAGTCGAACGGTGTTGCTGAACGCAAAAACCGTACGTTAAAAGAAATGATGAATGCCATGTTGAATAATTCAGGATTACCACAGAACATCTGGGGGAAGCTGTTTTAACAGCAAATCATATCCTGAACAAAATACCACCTAAAGGGAAAGATGAGACTCCTTACTAAATGTGGAAAAATCGTAAGCCATCTTATAAATACCTGAAAGTGTGGGGGTGTTTGGCTAAGGTTTCAGTACCTGAAACCAAACAAGTGAAAATCGGACCAAAGACAGTCGATTGTGTATTTATTGGATATGCGTACAATAGTACAGCATATAGATTTTTGGTTCATAAATCAAAAAATCCAGAAGTATCTGTGGGTACCATGATTGAGTCGAGGAATGCTATATTCTTTGAGAATATTTTTCCTCTGAAGGAAAGGGAAGAATCTAGTTCTAATAAACGAACAACTGCTAGTGGTTCTGTACCAGAGAGTGCTAATGAAGAACCAAGACGTAGTAAAAGGGTAAAAATGATGAAAACGTTTGGACCTAATTTTATTACGTACATGTTGGACGATGAACCGAGTTCCCTTAAAGAAGCTCTGTCCAGCCCAGATGGACCACTCTGGGAAGAAGCTGTAAATAGCGAAATCGAGTCCATTATGCAAAATCATACTTGGGAGTTGGTTGATCTCCCTGATGGTTGTAAACCTTTAGGATACAAGTGTATCCTACAGAAGAAATATAAAGCTGATGGATCGATTGATAAGTTTAAAGCACGTTTGGTGGTCAAAGACTTTAAACAAAAGGAAGGGTATGATTTCTTTGATACTTATTCACCAGTTACGCGTTTAGCATCGATAAGAGTGCTTTTCTCGATTGCTACTTTGCACAATCTTAAGATTCACCAAATGGATGTCAAAACGGCATTTTTGAATGGTAAATTGGAAAAAGAAATATACATGGAACAACCTGAAGGGTTTGTTGTACCTGGACAAGAGATAAAGGTGTGTAGATTGATCAAATATTTGTACGGACTGAAACAAGCTCCGTAACAATGACATTTGAAATTTGATGACGTGATGTTATCAAATGAATTCAAAATCAACGAATGTGACAAATGTGTTTATGTCAAGGGTACATCAAATACATTTGTGATTGTATGTCTATATGTAGACGATATGTTGATCATTGGGAGTAGCCATGAAGTGATAATGGATACGAAAAGAATGTTGAATAGAAATTTCGACATGAAAGATATGGGTTTGGCTGATGTTATTCTTGGAATAAGGATTATCAGAACCCAAGATGGAATTGTCTTGTCACAATCTCATTATGTAGAGAAAGTGCTCAAGAAATTTTATGTCTATGACGGTGCACAGTCTAGGCATATGTGTAAGACACCCCTTGATTTCAGTATAAATCTGTTTGTCAATAAAGGTCAACCAGTGGCTCAGTTGGAATATTCATGGATAATAGGGAGTTTGATGTACTTGGCGAATTGTACACGACCAGACCTGGCCTATCCAGTAAATAAGTTGAGCAGAGTTACGAGCAATCCCAGTCATGATCACTGGAATGTTTTGAGAAGGGTACTTAAGTACTTGAGGTACACCCTTGAATACGGGCTAAAATACTCGAGATATCCAGCCGTACTTGAAGGGTACTGTGATGCAAGCTGGATATCAGATTCGAGAGATTCTCGCTCCACTAGCGGATATGTTTTCTGTATTGGAGGAGGTGCAGTTTCATGGAAATCCACAAAACAAACATGTATAGTTCAGTCAACGATGGAATCGGAGTTCATCGCTTTAGATAAAGCTGATGAAGAAGCCGAGTGGCTTAGAAATTTTTTATCTAATATACATGTTGGGATAAAACTTTGCCGCCTGTGATGATTCACTGTGATAGCCAAGCTGCTATAGGTAGAGCGTAAAGCAACTTAATAACGGTAAGTCTAGACATATTCATCGTAGACATAATACCGTACGTCAATTAATCACAAATGGTATTATTTCCATTGACTATGTGAAGTCTAAGGAAAATTTGGCTGATCCTTTGACGAAAGGATTGAATAGAGATCAATTGGTAGTTTTGCTAGAGGGAATGAGTTTAAAAATCCACAATGAAAAAAATGATCATAGTGGTAACCCTACCATGCTAAGTAGAGATCCTACGAACTTGGTTCAAATGGAAAACTAAGCTATGAAAATTCAGTTGACACTTGGAACATATGAATGTCCAAAGCTATTCCCTAGAGCATTCCAA